CAGAACAAACACTACAAGGAACATTACCCAACAATAAAAAATTATGAGCAAACATCTGACACAAGGAAACTAAGCTTCAACAAAAGATTATGAAAACACATTAACATATGAGAAACCTATTATAAAAAGAATGGAACATTATAGGGCAACGCTTGAGACCAAGAAATCATTAATAATAGGTAAACCCTTCAAATGGTTAAGTTTTTTTTTCTTACTCATCATTTTTTTATTTAACACCCTACTGCCTTCACCTGGTACATAAAGCAACATGCTAATCTTGAGGAAAATATAATCGAAACATCAAACTCGAAAATTCATTGAATGATAATACATACATCCCCCGCCACCAAAAAGAAAAATAAAACAAAATAAAAGAAAGAAAAGGAAAGGAAATCGTGAACTTTTGAGTAGAAGTAAAAGGAAAAAATAAAATAAACATACCAACCCTTTCAACCTGATGGAAATTGGACGGTCTTTCAAAGCTCTCATCACTTTTGGAGAGACTTTCTGCATGTATCAGCAAAAAAATCATACCCTTGGAACTCCTACCATTAGTACATATGATACTTTTGAATGGATTGATCCTCTACCTGTAAAACCTCAGCAGCTGTAGCAACGCGTTCCTCATTCCACAATTTAAGCATGAGAACAGTCAAAAGAAATGTTTTTGGATTGATAAATATGGATTTATCGATTCCCAAGTCTGTAAAATGAGAAAATAGGACGTTGTCAAAAATAATATATATATAGGAAACAGTTTATATAAGCTTGGAACCTTGTACTATAGAAGTAACATGCACCACAAAGATCCAATAGAAAAGAGCTTTCCAAAGTTGGAAAACCTTCCAATTGATCATATCAAGATATAAAGAAAAAAAGAATTTCAAGTCCTAAAAATAGTGCATCTTCTATCAAGTTATCGTCTATTTTCAAGATTTTCAATTGTTTATAAATATGCTCAATTTGTAACATTTTCGAAATTTTAGATTTCATAATTAGGGTTGGAACATGGATTTTCAAGGCATCATAAGGTTTCCAACTTAGGAACTACATCTTTGGGTAAAATTTAGAGGCGCACCTTACCTATATAGTATAAGGGGGGTGCCTTATATAAACCTCACCCAAATATGTGTGTACACACACACACATACACAGTCCCATAGGAACACTCAGCAATTCCAAAAATCACACGAAACCTAAGCGTTTCATAGGAGAATGATATATATACAGTAGAAAAGGAGTCGTAGAGAAAAGAAGGTGAGCATTAATAGGCTTGGCATGATGAGCAAATCTTTCTAGTGGATGGTTGCAATTTATTAGAACCTTCATGGAAGACGGTATAGAATAATCAAGCATATTTACAAATGTAGCCTCTTTTACCATTCTATTTCAGAATGTCATGTTAAATATCTTGGACAACAGCAGGGGGGAAAAGGGCGAAAGATTACGAATGCTTACAGCCTCACACTTTTGAAGTCAGCCTTAATTTAATTGTTTACAGCCTCACCCTTATATAAACTTTTTCGTTATTAAACAATTGCATTATATTTGTTGCATGGTTTTTCTCACTAGAAATATCTTCGCCTATGCATGTAACTAAGAAACACATATTTGATGACATTTATTGCGACTTTCTCTCACTAGGATCTCTATGCTCAGACCATACCTTAATCGCGTGTAAGACCATCGAACATCGTTGCGTCAGCACTGACCACCCCCCCCCCTTTGATTTTTAGCATTTGGGCATCCCATCATTTCCCAAGATATTAATATTCCCATTCGAGGAGTTAAAACGTGCTTAGGGGGACACCATCCGACCTTCAGCAGAAAGCTAACAGTCGACTACTAATAATATCAAATATTTTCAATGCTACATTTCAATTTTAAAAAATTATAACCAGACTAAAATAATATCACTTTTCAATATCAAAAATTTATAACCCCATAAAAATAACTAGTATTGACATGCGATATTGTTATCGACATACTTTTGAATATCTAACCAAAATTAAATAGCTATTAATCCCAGACATAGACATATGTACAAAGATCCTATAATCAGATTACTTTTAATATCCCCCTTGACCTTATAAATCTTGATCAAAAACATGGCAAATCTTTTGTAACGACCACTTTGTTAGTTGGGAAGGGAAGTATATCACATACACAGCCTGTACATGTGCATAGACAGGGCATCCACAAAGGTTCCCAACAATGAGCGATGAAGGTGAAGCATGAATTGTGTTTAGCAACAAAAAGGGCATACATCAAGAAATGAAAAACACAATTAGATTTTTCTTCTTTGAAAATAAAATAATTGCATAATCTGATTAACAATCCATACAGTAAGAGACAAAATCCTAATTCAAAAACTACCCAATAAAAACACTTATTGAACATGTAAATGCGATAAATGCGCCTCACCAATCACATACTCACCCCACTCTTCAGACCCATATCGTTCGAAAATGTCGCGAGCATCAAAGGAACCGATCTTCCTCGTTCTCGTCGTCCTAAACAGCGACAGTAATGACGCGCAATTGCAAATTTATCAAATATGGGTTTTACCATTCCTTTTCCAAACTTTGACGGTGCAAAATCTATTATCAAAGCTAAAAAGGAAAGCATATATATACAGCCTGTACGCGATACACATCTGGGGCATCCACTGACCATTCTCCACAATGGAAGGTGCAGATTAAATCTAAATGTGTCCATCATAGGTAGCTTTTAGTTGATCTCTACCATCCGTTTTTGTGAATGATCTGTGGATGGTCCAGCTGTGCACCATGTACCACAAAAGACTCCCCCGGTATAGTTTCCCAAAATGACAATAGACGGAAGAGAAGACATAAAAGTACCTTTTCCTAAACTTTACATTCATGACTGTCCCATGCAACTGCAAAAAAAAAGCTAATTTAATCATTACCACTTAATGTTCTGTTTTCTGTATTTTTTTTTTCCATTTTCTAGATATCCTTTTGGTTATTTTTTATGATTATTTTAACAGACCTAAATCATAGTAGTGGAATGTATCACCACCCTAATGCTACGATCTTAAAAAAATCCCATTAGAGGAAACCTTAGAAAAGCCCCCAGTTTTCAAGAAAAAGAAATAACAGTGACTCGGTTTCAAAGTAAATCTTACAATTATTTTACATGGATGATAATAGTGCACTAGATTGGAAGTCTACAATACAGACCTAATGAACATAGCTATTAAGTTGAATGTCTCCAAAGAACATTGCAAAAGAAATAAAAATTTAAGAAACAGAAATAACACCACTATCAAAACTATTATAACATTGAGTCATTTTACAAGGTGCCACAGATCATACTAGGATAAAAAATACAATACCTTCAACTTTTGGCACGCATCCTTCTGGAGAACAAGGCCAGCTTTCACATAGGCATCAATAATGACTTCTATGGAAAGCTCAAGAAAATCAGCAAGAAAGGAAAATTCAAATATAACATCAGAAAGAAAAAATTAAGAAAAAGGAAAAAGTTAGTGTACTAATTATTTCGGTGACAATTATCCATAAAGTTGCACTGGAAATATTATAAATATATTGTATATAACTTCTGAAGGGGGGTAAAAACAAAAACATTATACATATATTCAGGATACGACAAGCCCGCATCAAGCGACCCTCGCCACCAATCTCCTCAACTGGAGTATATAAAACACAGGCTTCTGAAACTGAACCTCTCATGCAGTCCTGTACATGAGAGAAACAATGCACTTCCTGAAAATTCACCTCATACACACACACTAACATGAAGTCATCCAAGACTGGAGATTGAGAATATCTGCAAATCTAAGTGATATCACAAAAACTACATGCAATACAATAATCAAGAAAATTAAGGGTAGTGTGATTCTATGAGGCCCCAAGACCCATCAAAAGATTAAACAAGGAAAAGGCATCATTACTAGCCATTAGAATCTTTATTTATAAGGATTTCAGTGATCCATCATTTTCAACATATTATTACATACAACATTAACTCCACTTGAGAAGTAATTTGCCTCATTCAACTAACTATTAGAAGGAAAATGTAAGAAACAGCAAAATCTCAATATATACGAGACCAACAAAACCAAGCAATCTCTCAAAAAACATCATAATCCAGCTATTTTAAACCTAAATAGTAAAATCCATGCAGAGAAATGAGGGGAAAAAATCATCCAGTGCCGAAGCAAATTCCTATTCTAGCTCAGAACTTGAACTAGGAAACGTTATTGCATTAACTGCATGATATACAAACTAGTTTAGCGTAGCTTCAAGTTCAAACCATGTCATGACAAAACTACTGAAAATACAAAGTTCATCCGTAAGAAAATCCTAATAAAATTATGCTAGACAATAAATCATTGCAAGCATTTAGATAGTCGAAGTGAATACGACTCAGTGCAGCAGTGCCTCTAATACATTACATTGTAAAGATGAGGTGTTGAGAACAAACACTACAAGGAACATTACCCAACAATAAAAAATTATGAGCAAACATCTGACACAAGGAAACTAAGCTTCAACAAAAGATTATGAAAACACATTAACATATGAGAAACCTATTAAAAAAAGAATGGACCATTATAGGGCAATGCTTGAGACCAAGAAATCATTAATAATAGGTAAACCCTTCAAATGGTTAAGTTTTTTTTTCTTACTCATCAGTTTTTTATTTAACGCCCTACTGCCTTCACCTGGTACATGAAGCAACATGCTAATCTTGAGGAAAATATAATCGAAACATCAAACTCAGGGATTCATTGAATGATAATACATACATCCCCCGCCACCAAAAACAAAAATAAAACAAAATAAAAGAAAGAAAAGGAAAGGAAATCGTGAACTTTTGAGTAGAAGTAAAAGGAAAAAATAAAATAAACATACCAACCCTTTCAACCTGATGGAAATTGGATGGTCTTTCAAAGCGTTCATCACTTTTGGAGAGACTTTCTGCATGTATCAGCAAAAAAATCATAACCTTGGAACTCCTACCATTAGTACATATGATACTTTTGAATGGATTGATCCTCTACCTGTAAAACCTCAGCAGCTGTAGCAACGCGTTCCTCATTCCACAATTTAAGCATGAGAACAGTCAAATGAAATGTTTTTGGATTGATAAATATGGATTTATCGATTCCCAAGTCTGTAAAATGAGAAAATAGGACGTTGTCAAAAATAATATATATATAGGAAACAGTTTATATAAGGTTGCAACCTTGTACTATAGAAGTAACATGCACCACAAAGATCCAATAGAAAAGAGCTTTCCGAAGTTGGAAAACCTTCCAATTGATCATATCAAGATATAAAGAAAAAAAGAATTTCAAGTCCTAAAAATAGTGCATCTTCTATCAAGTTATTGTCTATTTTCAAGATTTTCAAGTGTTTATAGATATGCTCAATTTGTAACATTTTCGAAATTTTAAATTTCATAATTAGGGTTGGAACATGGATTTTCAAGGCATCATAAGGTTTCCAACTTAAGAACTACATCTTTGGGTAAAATTTAGAGGCGCACCTTACCTATATAGTATAAGGGGGGTGCCTTATATAAACCTCACCCAAATATGTGTGTACACACACACACATACACAGTCCCATAGGAACACTCAGCAATTCCAAAAATCACACGAAACCTAAGTGTTCCACAAGAGAATGATATATAGACAGTAGAAAGGAGTTGTAGAGAAAAGAAGGTGAGCATTAATAGGCTTGGCATGATGAGCAATCTTTCTAGCGGATGGTTGCAATTTATTAGATCATTCATGGAACAGGGTTTTAGGTTCATATTTTAGGTCTCTATGGTCCAGGGGCACTACTAGAGTCCATACGGGCTGTATTTTTTCTTGGGATTTTGGCCACTCTACGCCAGCGATAATTCCTCTAGCTATCTTTTGGGCCATGGAGACAGAGTAATAATAGAATTTCTAGAGTAAGATCATCATCATCATTATCATCCGAGCCTTAACCCAACTAGTTGGGGTCAGCTAAATACAGGCAATTATTATCATAAGAGAAAGAGAGTTGTAATTGAATAAAGGGATTGGGAATTGAAGATAGTGCACAAAAATAAATACAGATGCCCTGTCCATAGCACCCATAGGAGAACAAGAGATCAGAAAGGTGAGATGTAGAGCTGACAAGCGTAAAGGGATTCTAGAGAACATCTGTTCATTGGATACAGAGCTTTAGTATGTATACATAGATGTCCTTTCTCCATATGGGTCTCCAGATGGGGATTCATTGTTAGGAGTACCCATGGAGATTCTGTATTTATAGGTATCTCTTGAGTTACTTATTAAATCAGCAATAATAGTACATTAATAAAAAGGAAAAAGAAAAACTTCACATCATCACAAAATAGAAGAACTTGTAAACCAAAATGGTTTCTAGAAAGAACCCAGACAATGATGAACAACTCACAATTGAATTTGTTTCCATAATAATGATAAAAACTTTAAAATAAAATAAAATAAAATAAAAGAGAAAAAGGGGAAATAAAAAAAAAAGACGCCATGCATAGTAAATGCAGCATTCAAATGACAACACTCAATAAATGCGAAATATCTTCCAAGTTTTCTCATTTCTCATTCAAAATTCTCCCTGAACACATAACCATAGTAGAGAATAGAAAGAAACCAACCTTCCGAAGAACTCAAGTGAGCACTGAGCGGCATCCAAACTGCTCTCACAGCTCTCCTCTTCTTGCTCTGATCCATTGCATTCACTACATCCTTCATATCCCCCATTTTCCTCAAACAAACTTTGCCATAGTAATTGGAACCCTAGCATATACATAAACAGTAAAATGAAGAGGAAAACAACAATAGAAAGCATAATTAAAAAGCAAATTTTATATTTACAACGCCATTCCTTTCTTCAAACTAATTACAATGGCAAAAACCCTGAAATGGATGACATAATCTGGTCATGTAAACGTAACAAGAAGAATGGCAATTATCTATAGTGTAATGCATGCCAAAGACATGCGAATTTTATGCACCATAAGATTAATTTCCCAAGGGAAATTTATCTAAATACACCTAGCTTTTCGATTGTTGGACATTTTACCCCTTTTCTCAGCTATTCCAACTCATGATCGTGTGCATTTTGATGGACTTTTCAAAATTAAATTAAAGACCAGAAACTGCTAAATAGTTCATCTCGGTGCATTTTGATAAATTTCCCTTTTCCCAATTATCTATGCAGTTGAAAGTTTGACTATCTGCATTAAAGCAAAGATATAACACCAAAGAAGGCTACTTTCAAAGTAATTAATAAAAAAAAAAAAGGAAAAGCAAAATTAAGTCTTCTTTCAATACCTGAAATGAGCTTACAAGCTTTGGTAATTCATAAATAACTTTTGAAACCTTTGATACTTGTTCCACTCTGGAAGAAATAATGCAAAAGACTCATAAGCTTATTTACTCAAAAAACTCCAAACAGAATATGCGAAGACCTTTTGTTTGTAAATCGGGAGCCATAACACATCAAAGCAATGGAAAATGGTGTTCCTTTTCCAACATCATAAAAGTAATACAGGAACATTACTTCAGAGAGAGAGAAAGAGAGAGATGATCAATGATCATGCAGTTCAACTTACACTAAAAAACCCACCAAATGTTTTTTGAATTTTTCAGTCACAATCGGAGCAAAGGTAACCTTAATTTCCAATTCAAAATTCCACAAAACAAACGAAGGAAAAAGTAGAAAGAAAATAAAAGAAAGGAAGAGAAATAATATCTTCCAAAAATGCTGAGATTTTCCATTATAGAGATCAAATACCCAGAAAAAAACAATCGAAATTACTGAGTGACAAAAAAAATACCTGGAAAAAGATCTTAAAATGATCATCTACATGGGCTTGAGTAAGACTTAAGAGTAACAAAACTTCGTTTCTAGTCTGAAGGCTTAATAGGCGGGACTATTTATAGTATCAGTTGAAGAGAGTTAAAAAATATTTTTTACTCCCGCGGTGGCATGTACACTCTGTTCCCACCGTCATGTAAAACCATCGGGGCCGTTTGGATACTTAAGAAATACATTTTATAATGTATTTGAGGGGAAATGACACATTTCTAGGGTTTGCATCGAAATTTTGGGACTGAAATATATTTTCGTCTTTCTTCGTTTCATCCTAAAAATAAATAAAATTGTATGATTGTTTTTACCCTCCGAAATTAATTTCACAAAAACACGACCTTAAATTAGTGAGAGATACTACCTCAAATTTTACATTTCAGACATAGAAAGTATTTTAAAATTTTAGAGAAGCAAACTATTTCTAATTTTAGAGAAAGAAACTATCCAAATTTTTTTGGAAAAAAATTATCTTATAATTTTTATAAAGATAAACTATTTCAAATTTTAAGTTTTAAAGAGAATATCATAAAATATTAGAGAGAGAAACTATATCAAATTTTAGAGACGGCGATATAAAAAAAGTTTTAGAGGGAGAAACCATCTCAAAAAAAATTAAAGAGAAAAACTATCTCAAATTTTGAGTTTTAAACAGAGAAAGTACTTGAAAATTTATAAAGAGAAAAACTATATCAATTTTTTTAAAGAGAAAAATTATCTCAAATTTTAAGTTTTATCAAGAGAAAGTACCTGAAAATTCTTAGAGAGAGATAAATTATATCAAATTTAAGTTTTAGAAAGAGTACTAAACTTTTTTTAGAGAGAGTTATTATTTCAAAAATTTTAGAGAAAGAAACTATCTCAAATTCTAAGTTTTAGAGAGAGAAAGTATATTAAAATTTTAGAAAGAAATTATATCTATTTTAGAGAGAAAAACTATCTAAAATTTATCAAATTTTAGAGAGAGAAACTATATCGAATTTTAAGTTTTAGAGAGAGCAAGTAATTGAAAATTTTCAGAAGAAAAAAATATCTCAAAAAATTTAAAAAGATAAACTATATCAAAAGAAATATCTTAAATTTTATGTTTTAGAGAGATAAAGTACTTGAAAATTTATAGAGAGAGAGAAAATACCTCAAAATTTTAGAGAGAGAAACTATATCAAAAATTTTAAAGAGAAAAACTATCTCAAATTTTAAATTTTAGATAAAAAAAGTATTTGAAAATTTTTAGAAAGAGAAACTGTTTTTAATTTTTTAGATAGAGAAACTATATCAAATTTTAAGTTTTATAAAGAGTATCTCAAATTTTTTAGAGAGAGAAACTATCTCATATTTTAAGTTTTAGAAATAAAAGTACCTTAAAACGTTACAGAGAAACTATATCAAATTTTAGAAAGACAAAGTACTTAAAATTTTTAGACAAAAACTATTTCAAATTTTAATTTTTAGAGAGGGAAAGTACTTAAACATTCATAGTGAGAGAAGCTATCTTAAAAAATTTAGAGTAAAAAACTATCTCAAATTTTAAGTTTTAAAGAGAGAGAAACTATATCAAATTTTAGAGAGAGAAACTATTTGAAATATTTTAGAGATTTATTACCTCAAATATTTAGAGAGAGAAACTACCATAAATTTAATTAAAAAAAAAGACATTATAATGAATAATATAATAAAAATATTTAATGAATTTTTTGAAAAAAAAATGAAAATGTTATACATCCATGTAGCATTCAAACAGCTGAAATCTATTTCATAAGAAATACTTTTCCCAAAATGTACTTCAATATAAATAGATTGCCTAGAGTAATCCCTAGGAACATTTACGCGTTTAGGATAGGGTTGGCAATTGGATCAGGTCGGTGGTGGATCGACTTGAACTAGGTCCGGTTCTTGGTCCATCTTTGTACACATATGTGTGTACAAAGATCCTATAGTTAGATCACCTTTAATATCCCCCTTGACCTTTTAAATCTTGGCAAATCTTTTGTGACAACCACTTTGTCAGTTGGGAAGGGAAGTATATCACATACACAGCCTGTTCATGTGCATAGACACAACGAGCGATGAAGGTGAAGCATGAATTGTGTTTAGTAACAAAAAGGGCATACATCAAGAAATTAAAAACACAATTAAATTTTTCTTCTTTGAAAATAAAATAATTGCATAATCTGATTAACAATCCATACAGTAAGAGAGACAAAAAATCCTAATTCAAAAACTACCCAATTAAAACACTTATTGAACATGTAAATAAAAAGAAAAAGAAAACGAAAGAACTATTAATCTTCGAGGCTCTGAGGGAAGGGAATTGAAGCGCAACAATGATAGTAGCCACTTTCATCAAACTTGAACCTCTGCGATAAATGCGCTTCACCAATCACAAACTCACCCCACTCTTCAGACCCATATCGTTTGAAAATGTCGCAAGCATCAAAGGAATCGAACTTTTTCGTTATCCTCTTCCTAAACAGTGACAGTAATGACACACAAGCAATTGCAAATTTATCAAATATGGGTTTTACCATTCCTTTTCCAAACTTTGACGGTGCAAAATCTATTATCAAAACTAAAAGGGAAAGCATATATATACAGCCTGTACGTGATACACATCTGGGGCATCCACTGTCCATTCTCCACAATGGAAGGCGCAGATAAAATCTAAATCTGTGTCCATCATAGGTACCATTTAGTTAATCTCTACCATCCGTTTTTGTGAATGATCTGTGGATGGTCCAGCTCTGCACCATGTACCACAAAAGACTCTTCCGGTATAGTTTCCCGAAATAACAATAGACGGAAGAGAAGCCATAAAGGTACCTTTTCCTATGCCTTGCATTCATGACTGTCGCATGCAGCTGCAAAAAAAGCCAATTTAATCATTACCACTAAATGTTCTGTTTTCTGTATTTTTCTTTTCCATTTTCTAGATATCCTTTTTTTATTTTTTATGATTATTTTACCAGCTCTAAATCATAGTTGTGGAATGTATCACCACCCTAATGCTACGATCTTAAAGAAAATCCCATTAGAGGAAACCTTAGAAAAGCCCCCAGTTTTCAAGAAAAATAAATAACAGCGACTCAGTTTCAAAGTAAATCTTACAATTATTTTACATGGATGATAATAGTGCACTTGATTGGAAGTCTACAATACAGACCTAATGAACATAGCTATTACGTTGAATGTCTCCAAAGAACATTGCAAAAGAAATAAAAATTAAAAAACAGAAATAACACCATTATCAAAACTATTATAACATTGAGTCATTTTAGAAGGTGCCACAGATCATACAAGGATAAAAAATACAATACCTTCAACTTTTGGCACGCATCCTTCTCGAGAACAAGGCCAGCTTCCACATAGGCATCAATAATGGCTTCTATGGAAAGCTCAAGAAAATCAGCTCAAGAAAATCAGCAAGAAAGGAAAATTCAAATATAACATCAGAAAGAAAAAATTAAGAAAAAGGAAAAAGTTAGTGTACTAATTATTTCGGTGACAATTACCCATAAAGTTGCACTGGAAATATTATACATATATTGTATATAACTTCTGAAGGGGAAAAAACAAAAACCATTATACATATATTCAGGATACGACAAGCCCGCATCAAGCGACCCTCGCCACCAATCTCCTCAACTGGAGTATATAAAACACGGGCTTTTGAAGGTGAACCTTTCATGCACTCCTGTACATAAGAGAAACAATGCAATTCCTGAAAATTCACCTCATACACACACTAACATGAAGTCATCCAAGACTGGAGATTGAGAATGTCTGCAAATCTAAGTGATATCAGAACTTCATGTAGGGCAAAGATAAATATTTAACCATATATGGACCATGAAGAAAGCAAAAGCAGCTAACTTTTTTATTCACAAAAAATACATCCAATATAATTATCAAGAAAATTACAGGTAGTGTGATTCTATGAGGCTCAAGACCCATCAGAAGATTAAACAAGGAAAAGGCATGATTACTAGCCATTAGAATCTTTATTATTAAAGATTTCAGTGATCCATCATTTTCAACATATTACATACAACATTAACTCCACTTGAGAAGTAATTTACCTCATTCAATTAACTATTAGAAGGAAAATGTAAGAAACAGCCAAATCTCAATAGATATGAGACCAACAAAACCAAACATTCTCTCCAAAAATTCATAATCCAGCTTTTTTAAACCTAAATAGTAAAATCCATGCAGAGAAATGAGGGGAAAAAATCATCCAGTGCCGAAGAAAATTCCTATTCTTGCTCAGAACTTGAACTAGGAAACGCTATTGCATTAACTGCATGATATACAAACTAGTTTGGTCCAATAATGGCTTAGCTTCAAGTTGAAACCATGTCATGACAAAACTACTGAAAATACAAAGTTCATCCGTAAGAAAATCCTAATAAACTTATGCTAGACAATAAACCATTGCAAGCATTTAGATAGTAGAAATGAATATGACTCAGTGCATCAGGGCCTCTAATACATTACATTGTAAAGATGAGGTGTTGAGAACAAACACTACAAGGAACATTACCCAACAATAAAAAATTATGAGCAAACATCTGACAAAAATTATGAGCAAACATCAACAAAAGATTATGAAAACACATCAATATATGAGAAACCTATTAAAAAAGGTAAACCCTTCAAATGGTTAAGTTTTTTTTCTTACTCATCATTTTTTTATTTAACACCCTGCTGCCTTCACCTGGTACATGAAGTAACATGCTAATCTTGAGGAAAATATAATCCAAACATCAAACTCAGGGATTCATTGAATGATAATACATACATCCCCCGACACCAAAACAAAAATAAAACAAAATAAAGGAAAGAAAAGGAAAGGAAATTGTGAACTTTTGAGTAGAAGTAAAAAGAAAAAATAAAATAAACATACCAACCCTTTCAACTTGATGGAAATAGGACGGCCTTCCAAAGCTTTGATCACTTTTGGAGAGACTTTCTGCATGTATCAGCAAAAAAATCATACCCTTGGAACTCCTACCATTAGTACATATGATACTTTTGAATGGATTGATCCTCTACCTGTAAAATCTCAGCAGCTGTAGCAACGCGTTCCTTATTCCACAATTTAAGCATGAGAACAGTCAAATGAAATGTTTTTGGCTTGATAAATATGGATTTATAGATTCCCAAGTCTGTAAAATGAGAAAATAGAACGATGTCAAAAATAATATATATATAAGAAACAGTTTATATAAGGTTGCAACCTTGTACTATAGAAGTAAGATGCACCATAAAGATCCAATAGAAAAGAGTTTTCCGAAGTTGGAAAACCTTCCAATTGATCATATCGACCTTCAGATGTATTGATATAAAGAAAAAAAGTATTTCAAGTCCTAAAAATAGTGCATCTTCTATCAAGTTATTGTCTATTTTCAAGATTTTCAAGTGTTTATGGATATTCTCAATTTGTAACATTTTCGAAATTTTAAATTTCATAATTAGGGTTGAACATGGAATTTCAAGGCATCATAAGGTTTCCAACTTAAGAACTACATCTTTGGGTAAAATTTAGAGGCGCACCCTACCTATATAGTATAAGGTGGGTGCCTTATATAAACCTCACCCAAATATGTGTGTACACACACACACATACACAGTCCCATAGGAACACTCAGCAATTCCAAAAATCACACGAAACCTAAGGGTTTCACAAAAGAATGATATCTATACAGTAGAAAACAAGGAGTTGTAGAGAGAAGAAGGTGAGCATTAGTAGGCTTGGCATGATGAGCAATCTTTCTAGTGGATGGTTGCAATTTATTAGAACATTCATGGAAGACGGTCTAGAATAATCAAGCATATTTACAAATGTAGCCTCTTTTACCATTCTATTTCAGAATGTCATATTAAATATCTCGGACAACAGCAGGGGGAAAAAAGGGCGAAAGATTATGAATGCTTAGAGAATAATGTCATGAAATGAAACTGGACACAAAAAACTGACTAAAACGTACGAAGTTTAGAAGATAAACCGAGTGAAGCAGGCTTTTCTTTTTCTTAGTGTGTGTCTGGGTGTGGGTGCGGGTGTGGGTGGATGGGTGAGTAGGGGTCCTAGAAAGAAAGAGGCAGAAAACTAAGTTGATGATTTTATCTATCGTCAATTCAAGTTGGAACCCTCAATATAAACATATAAAGATCTCAGTAGAATGAGAAACGATACATGTGCCTGTAAAATCAAATGGCACAAGACAAAATCATTGTAAAACAAGGGAACTTCTTAGACAAGATAAACAGTCGTTGAAGTTGGATATTTTCAAACCTAACCCATATATGATTAGGCTAACTGCCTCACCAGATAAAAATGAGGATTGAGGTACCCTAGGATCAACACTTGCATCTGTCACCTCTATCTTCATTTTAACGGGCTCATCATTGTTATGAACCTTCAACTTAACAGCAACACAAGAATCTCCACCAACAGGGCCATCGTAATCTTCTTCATCTGATGTTCCTTCATTTGAATCACACCCTTGTTTACCTTGATTATTATTTAAATTTCCCATTATTGAATTCTGAAAACTCTGTAGCTTTTCTACAAGTCCAGGGTGGACTGCCAAAGGAAGAGATATGAAATGGGAGTAATCAAGACTTGGGCTCTTAACTGCCTGCACTCACCAGCCATAAAACAAAGATGATTACTCAAGTGGAACAACATAAATAGGCATGCATCCAAATTAAAAATATTCAAGTGTGAATGCATATCCATCATTCTTATACTACTCTAGATGTCTTAAAGATCAGTCCTCAGGACCCAAAATGAATTAAAAAGAAACAGATATTGTAGGAAACCAAAATACTATGCCTTGCTCTCTCAGAACAATAAAGATAGATTTCCCCAAATTTATAAACTCCTTTAATATTCCAAGATGATGTGAACTTTAAAAAGCACGTGCTTTAATTTGCTGAGTGGAGCCACATTGCATAAAGCAACGAGATGAACTGGTAAGCACTTAGCATCAAGACGACACAATTTTGACACCTAAAACCAGATTTCAACAAGATAGAAGAAACCCTTAAACATGATGTTGAAATAGAAACAAACCTCCCCAAGAATAGTTTTTATCTTCTCTGAAGCTCTGGTCACATTTTCAACCGAAACACCCTCGATCACTGCAAATGAAAATAAACGAAAGTCATAGTCACATTCACACAAGATATGACAATGATCACATATCCAAAAAAGACAAGAAGAACAAAGTATCACAAATAAAGTCTTCCGGAGAATAGCCTTTGAAATCTTTTCTAATACTCTCCCAAGAGACAATTAATGTCCTGAGATTCTCTTTGGCCCTCCCCATCTTTCACTTTTGATCTGTGAAGCATATCCGCTTCTTCTCTAACCATATGTTATATACAGTACCCTAATATGGTCAGCCCCAAAGTACTAGTCTTTTCTTCCCTAACAATGAGTAAGCGTCGAACCACTGCAAAAAAGTGCTTTTATGGATTGCTGTACTCATATGAAGCGAACTGCTTCAGTGTAAAGGTCCATATCTTAGAAGCCACCAGAAACGCAGAAAAAGATGGCTAACTGTTTCTCTTTCCCTGCACATTAGAAATAGAGACCTACATTGAGTATGGTTAGTCCTCAACTAGTTGTGGTCGACAGATAGAACACTATCAAGGATCATGAACCATGCAAGGACTTGGTTTTGGAATGGCCAAGGAATACTTCACACTCTGTTTCTGGCGTTGTTCTTTTCCAAGCACCAGGTCATGGCTCGATACAATGATTTTGCAGAAAATTCACCCTTGGGATCATATGAGATTGTCTTTCTATCAGGCCTGAAAGAAGATTCCCCATAGCTCTACCAACAAATTCTTAAAGGCTTTGAATTCATCTCCTTCACAGGGTCTCCAAAGAGAGGATTTGAAAGTCAAGCAAAGCCCTTCACCATTAGATCAGTCACTGATACCTCCAGATTTTCGGCCAACAGGGCAAGTACTAACAAGAGGTGACTCCCCCAGCCATGTATTAAGCCCAAACTTAGTTTACCTTGAATTTCCAACCCAGAATCTGATCAAGCTAATGAAAGCATATCTGCATCCGTTAATCCCTCTCCAAACCCTTGAGAATCTAGAGCTATGCTCATATGGTTTCACAAACCATCCTAATATCTCTCCCCTATTTGCTCTAAATAACTTGTTCTCAAAGATGGTATGATTAAGTCCCAACTTCCAAACATCTGCTAACATTTGGCTCACAACACCTGATTCATTTCTTTATTTCTTCTGATTCCTAGGCCTTATTTACTTCTAGGTTTGCACCCACTGTCCCATCTCACCAGAAGAAAACTGTCTTTCTCACGTCACCATCCGTAGAACAAAAAAAAATTCCTCATAAGTTTTTCAATTTGTTTTGCCACTGAAGCAAGGATTGGAAACAAGGGCATATTGTAAATACAAAGGTTTGAGAGGGTAGATTTAATAAGGGCAATGGCTCCCATTGACAGAACCCTAAGCTTCCAAGATGCTAACTTGTTTTGGACTCTCTCTCTATAACTCCTCCCTATTGTGCCTTGGCTGGGTGGCCTTTGCACATCGGCAATCCATGGCTCTTATTTGTTAATTTTCCCCTCCCTACACATCCCACTAGGCTTGCAGGTTCAGGGACTGAGACACCCAAAAAACTTTGTTTTTGAAATGTTCACTACCATGCTGAAGCTAACTCTAAGCATCTCAGAAAGAGGTATAAGCTCTTCACTGGTATTGAAGTTAGCTTCACAGAAAATACATGTATCATCTGCATATTGCAGATGAGATACTACAGACTGAGGAGCAAGAATCTGGAGTTTCGGAGCCATCATCAGTCCACTTTCATACACCCAACTTAGCATCATAGTAAAGTATTCCACCACTACTGAAAAAAGTAAGGGACATGAGTGATCACCTTGCTATGGAAAATATCCCATTGGGGCAACATTTATAAAAGTGAGAAGGTGACAGTGGATACACACTCTGAAACCAACTTTCTGTCGATCACCAAATCCCATTAGCCCCATTGCCTCATCAAGGAATGACCAATCAACTGAGTCACAACCTTTTTCCGTATCTAAAGCGCATATATTACCCGAGTTTTTGCCCCTAAACATTGAGTAAACACCCTCATGCCACCAATGCCCAACCTATGGTAAAGGAAGAAGAGATTTTAGATAAAATCTTTTTTTCTTTTTCAGGGAATTATTTTAGATAAACTCTTGTCATTCCCGACCAGAAAATTATGAAAAAATCATATCCAACATTTTATAGGCCCTTTCCCCATACTTTCTCTGCATATTTCATTATGATTACTCATCAATCAAAGAACAGTACTACCAATGTTCCACATAATGATAAGCATGAAGGATGTTAAGCACACTAGAAAAGAACCTTAGTATTGAAATCCACATAAGATATTCTGTCTTGGATGATGATGATGACATAAGATATTCCATCTTGGTCAAGCAGCATCACCATCAAGTGTGATGTATAGGTATTTCTGAAGAAGAGCCAGCCATTCATATATGGTTTATGCTATTGTATATACAGTATTAAGGTAAACCAATAGTGTAAAGCAATGGTTTAAAAAACGGATCGGTGACCCGGATCGGGCACCTCAAAAACCGATCCAGATCGGCGAATCGGCGATCCGGATCGGGAATCGGCTGAATCGGTCGGATTAAAGCTTCAAAAAAATCCGAAAAAATTATTAAAATTTATTATAAATGTTGTTTTTTAGG